GTTTTTTCCCAAAAATTGAATGACAATGGACTAGAACAAAATTTGAACGTTACAGCATGTAACGAGCCGCGATGTTGTTTGGTGTTCACTCTCACGCAACTTAGGTTTATTTCAATTCCTTCGTTTATTTCACTTAAAACAATGAAAACACGTCTGCAACTACGGTTAAGTTGTTCCTCGTATCGTTTTACATTTACAACATTAACTAGCCTATTAGCCACACGTGAATCGCTAATTAAATAAAAGCCTTTCGATTATTATAACGCAGGAACTATTTAGAAACGAATAAACGTTAACTGAAGCGAGATTCCAAAATTTTATTTGCCCAAAACATACCACACGTAAAATAAATAAATGAAAATATAAATGACATGATAAAAATGAAATCAGCTAAAAAGTTGTTATTTAAAAAAAGATCTCTGCCAAAAACATCATTTAGTGAAAACTCCCTCCGCCACGTCAAGGAAGTTCTCATTTGAGGGAGATGTTAGAAAAAAAAATGTTAAAAACGAAAAAAACAAATTAAAACAACTACTAACAAACTTCTATCAAATTTGTATGTATGAATGTTTTGCTTTTATATGGTTGCATGTGTCAATTAGTCATGTTTGTTTTTCATAATATTTTAAGTTTAGCCCCTACTGCACGGCGAAAATAAAACTAAAAAACAGACTACAACAAAGTAAATGAAATAGAAACTACCTTAAAATAGAAGGTTACTATCCATGATCAAAGTATTTCTCCAAAACCTTAATGTAATTTCAGCCCTCGCTTACCTATTTTTTTTTATTAAACTCATCTCATCTACCTACGGCTATTTAACTGAATTCCTAGCTTACTTATCGGTCAATAAACTCAGCTCACTTGACAAAAGGTGAGAATGAAGAGACAAATATCACATTGTAACTTGTAACACTGAATTCACGTGTGTGTGTGTGTGTTGTGTGTGTGTGTGTACATGTTCGTTTTTGCTATACCAGGAATAAACAAAACCCTCTTCAGGTAAAGTAAATTATGTTAACAAACTAAACTATGCAATCTAAATCATCATAAAACCACCACAACTACCATCATAACTACCGTCGTAAAAACCATCATAAAAACCATCATAACTATCATCAGCGTTAAGCCGGCAAAGCAAAGTGGCAAATTTATTTTTTTAATGTCTGAAATGTTCGTCCGCCGCATTGGTGTAACTAGCAAACTAGGAGTACGTTTCATAATGATTAAAAATTTTTACAGTCTTATTATATTTTTAACCATTTATTTAATCTATATATATATATACAAAGAAATTGCCATTTAAATTGGTTTAAGTCAAAATAAAATGACAATAAATCACAATAAATGAAATTATCTGTGCCATCTGTGCATTGACTGCTAGTGATATTATAATTGTTTTGTCTATGTATAATAGCGATAATAGATTTTCATTTCGGCGTTTATAATTTTTGTAAAATTTTTAATCAAAATGGTGGAGAAAGAAGTGTCAAAAACTTTTATGAATCTGGCCAACTTGATCATCAATGATAAAGAAACGCAAACTCAATTTTGGAGTTTAACGTTAATTTAGTTTTAGATAGACTTAGAATAGATGGCTTAACATTTAACTTTATTTATTGGTGTTACTGTTACTGTTAGTTGCCTTGCAAAAAAATTTAATAATTAATATTTAAAACTTAAAATTAAATTTAAATTAAAGGCTGTTTTATAGCAAGCATTTAATCCTTTAATGATGTTTTCTAATAGTCAGTCTCCTACATCATCTACTAAAATTTCAGCAACAACATCAATCACCTCAACAATAACAACTACAATAACATCACAAAACGAAAATGAAATCAATCAATTTATTGATTTATCTAAAACAGCGTCAAGTCAAAACAACAACTGTTATGATGACATCAACATCATCAACTACAGTACTAGAAATTGTTCTCAGTTTTTGTGTAACAACTTATCAACAACCTACAACACTGATATTAATGCTAACATCAATAACATCAACAACATAAACAACAACAAAATTTTAAACAACACCTCTGACAATGATGTAACTGTTATTGATCTTAACAGTAACAAAAGCAGTATTAACAGTAACGAATTCAACAACAAAAATTGCAACAACATATTTCTATTACATCCTATGCCCACACATCTCAACTACAGCAATAACGTCAATAACAGTAATAATAGTAACAACACCACCATCAACAACAACAACAACATTAGCACCACTACCAGCTCCACTATCTCCAACACTTGCAAGGAGTCAGTCCTACGAAGGCGAAGAGTACGATGTAAAAAATGTGGCCCGTGCATTCGGGGGGAGTGTGGGGAGTGCCACTACTGCAAGGACATGAAGAAATTTGGGGGTCTTGGCAGAATGAAACAGACATGCATCAATAGGCAATGTCTTGCTGTGAGTTGATTGGATGGTGATGATGAAGAGGATGATGAAGAAGAAGTAGATGTTGGGGATGATGAATTGAATGATTTTATAAATAAATGAATGTGTAAATGATTGATCAAGTTTTCAAAAAATTTAAATTAATTTGTTTTTTTTAGCCCATCCTACCAACTGCAGTGGTGTGTGTGATTTGTGGACAGAGTGAATCAGCCCTCAACCAATCAAATCAGCCCTCAATCAACCAATCAAATCAATTGGCTACCAGCCAATTCAATCAATCATCTACCAACCAATCAAATCTATCATCTACCAACCAATCAAATCAATCATCATTCAACCATCTGCAAACTAGTCAGGCATTATATAATGTCATTTCAAATGAACAGCATGAAAGTTTTAATATCAGTACACTCAACATTAGCCATAGTAATGACAATAACAACGTTAATAGCAGTAACATATCATCAGCTAGTTCAACGCACCACTACATGCATGATTTGATGGAGTGCTTCATATGCTGGCAAATTTGCCACCCCCTCTGTCTGAAATTGAAATATCCACACCTTTCCAACGTTGATTGTGTTGTGAAGAGTGATTTGCCTAACAGTTGGGAATGCTACTACTGCTGCTTTTTGGGGAAAACTAAAAGTAAAAAGGTTTGTTTTGCATGCTGAATTTGAGTTCTTAAAATTGTTTGTTCGTTTGTTTATTTTCTTTGTTAATGTTTTGTCTATGTTGTTTTTTTTTCTAACATATTGGAAAAAATATTTGTATTTTGTCTAGTACAAGTTCTCAAGGATGATACCTTCGCCATCATTATCAGGATCAGCTGCGTTACTACCACCACCATCATCATCACATTTCATGACATCATCATCTTCAACGTTGTCATCAGCTTCAACGTCATCATCGTCGTCATCATCATCATCAGCTGCCAACAAATCCAATGCATATTCAACCTTTATAAAGAATTATCACGCTATGAAATATGAAGATGATGAAGATGACGATGATGATGCCGATAATGATGCCGACGAAGAAGATGATAATGATGACCAGATTGAAATTGACCTGTCATATAGACACACACCAGATGATAATAACAATGATGACGATGGTTCTTTTATGAAAAGTAAACTTACATCACCACATTCGAACAGGAAAAGATCAAGGAAAAATCTGATCCGCAGTGATGCAGATGATCATGGTGATGATGGTGATGCTCTTCACGTAAAAAGATTTAAAAACCCGGTTTAAAATTTTTCGTTTTTGAACCATATTTGATTTCTTAACTAATTTTTTAAATATTCTCACTAATTCCATCTTGTCACTCATTTAATTGATAGTTTGTCCATTTTCTCACACATCAGACTAACGTTGATGAAGATAGCTGTAACAACATCGCACAAGCACCAGGCACATCTTCAAAAATCAGCATGGGGCCATTCAAACCCAAGTTCGCCATTAGACCCCCTCTCTGTCAAGCCCCTCCCAAATCTTTTCTAACTTCAGATGGTCTGGCCAAACACAAAATAAAGATGAACACGTGGTTGCATGTGTTTTCATATTTGAGTCACGAGGAGCTAACTAGATGTTGCATGCTCGTTTGCAAGACTTGGTACAAATGGTGCCTTTATTCTCCTCTCTGGAAGAAGATGGATTTCAAAAGGAGGAAGATTAAGCAGGTGGATGTTGACTGTGGTCGTAATGTTCACGTTTCGTTTTTTGCACTTGTGTTCAATGTTTTACTGAAATGTTGAATCATTACTGTCATGGCTGTTATTGTTGGTGATATCGTCAGAATTCATAATCACATTTCGTCACCACCATCATCTAAAAAATTCAGAGCCACTTGGTAGCCATAGCAAGGCATCAACCAGAATGCTTGGATCTCAGTCACACCAATATAAGCAGGCAGCAACTTACCTGGTTAGCTGGAAGACTTTTCAATCTGCGTAGCTTGAAGCTAACAGCCTGTGCCTGGTCAGCTGTTAGTTGTCTCAACAACAACGGCAGTTTTTGTCCGCAGCTACGAGAGCTTGATTTGTCTTGGGTGTCTGGGTGTTCTGATTTGTTATTGAAGGGTTTGTTGTCTGCATCGGTTGACGAGAGGCCTGGTGTAGATGCGTCGTTGTTGAGGTTGAGGAATTGTGTCAAGTTGGTTCTAACTGGGTCAGATATCACTGATGCGTCTGTTGAGTTGATAGGTCAAACGTTGTTGAAGTTGGTTGAGTTGGATGTATCGTATTGCCAGGGAGTTACCAGTAAAAGTATTCAATTCCTTTCAAATTCAGCTGCATATAGCTCAACCACAACGTCGTCGTCGCCGTCACCTTCGGTACCTAAGCAAAATAGTTCGACAAACAGCAAGAATCAACTACAACATCCGCAACAACAACAACCACCAAACAAACAGTTGAACAACAGAAGTCATTATAAACCGACACAACCTCAAACTGCACACAGAGCTCTAGCACACGACTGTACAACAACATCGGCATCAACAACTACACCTGCCTCATCCAACTGGCAGCTTCAGCAACCACCCACAAACAACATCAGTGAGCAACTAACAACACCTCATAGAACATCGCCATCATTATTTCCTCTTCCTGATTTAAAGTCACTCATCTTAGTTGGCTGTCACTCCATTGATGTCACCTCTTTAAATGATGTAAGAAATCTTAGACCTGATCTTAAAATAATTATAAAAAATGCATAATTATTCGTTATTCATTGATCGTTTGATATGCAAGCGTTAATTTTGGTATAGGAATTGAACTATAGAACTTAAACGTTATCTGACGTTATTTATTTTCTACCTCTTTTTGGTTACCCTTACAATGGGATGAACGAAAGGGCAAAACTAGTCTTAAATTCCATGAATATATATATCTTAGACATTAACCTGACTCACAAATTTTTCATTATTTTAACAAAAGTCATCGTCTTGTGATATTGCTAAGATTTATTTAATTTTTTTTTTCAAAACCTTTTCTGTTAGGTATAAAATTACAACCCAGCTAAACAATTTATAGCATGTAACGTGTGTTTTAAATGTCATTTCGTAAATTATTTTCATTTCTTCTGTATTTTTAAATACATTTATACGGCAGCTATTTTTTTTGAGTTGGGTATTAGTTTTGTAAACTCATAAGCAAACCTGACCACAATTTGTTATCTTGCAGATTTAAATATAAAAAATTATTACTGATCCATTGTGAAATTGTTATTCTATTAAAAAACACATATACAACAGCAGAAATATTAATAAAGATGCTTATAATTAACCTAAATGTTGAGTCAACTAAGACTAAAATATGCGTGCGGGTGTGCGTGTGTGTACACATGAGATTAGCCGTAATAAGTACCCATTGTATATATATGGGCTATATTGTAGGCGATTTAATGAAATGATATACAAGTTTACAGTTGTAATAAATATTATGAAAAAAAACTGAAACCTAAGGATGATACATTTAGAGAGGAATGAGATGTCATAAAATAACATCGACTTTAGATACATATATCAGTTAAGTACAAACACGTACAAAGTTGATACCAAAGTATACACATATACAAACTTTGAGAAACTAGTACACACTTATACATGCACATACAAAACATACATACTCATTCCCGCACGTATACATACACATACAGGCAAGCATACAAATTGATGAATGTGTATACAACAGTTTAAACATTTACTAAAAAACATTGAATAAATATTGTACCTATAAACAAATACTGACCCTAAGTAATGAAGTATTGTGTTGTTATGTTACGTGTGCGTGTGTGTACGTGTTTGTCTACGTACGCATATGTACGTGAATAAGCAATCATAAATATTCATTGTGAGTTAATTCTTGAAAAGATTGTAGTATGTGAAAGAAATGCATAATTAATACGGTATACATTATTCATACAGAAGGAATTAGAAAATATTTAAGTAGTTCTCCATATTTATTTACGATTTTAATCAATCAATCAATTAATTAATCAATCAACTAACCAATCAATCAATCAATTAACCATTCAATCAATTAATGAATCAATACGATTTACATATTTTCGAAACCAATTTATTGTTAATATATAATTAAATAAAATAAATAAATAAATGATTTAAACAAATGTTTAATATGAATAAAAACTTAGCAATCCATCTTAATGGATTAACAAAAGTTCAACAAATCACACAGTACCCAGTGTTTAACAATAAGTACCTAGTATTTAACAATAATATGCAACAATATGAAACAAAGTTTAACAATATGAACAATATGTAACAAAGTTTAATAATATGCAACAATATACAACAATAATTATTAACCATATACAACAATATAACGATAATTATAGAAAAAGTCACCAAACTTAACAAATGTATATTGACAGTGTTCAATGGATCCAATAGGCAAAATCACTAACATCCTAAAAAATCGGAATGCCTAACATTACCAATTAATATCCATCATAACACTTCAACATTTCCGAATCCAACAACAACAAAAACAACAAAACATAACAAATACAATACAAAAAACCAGACACAACAACACAACTCAAGATCCATGTAAGAATCAAGTTATTGACGAGAACAACACACAAAAAGAACACACCAAACGACAATAACATTCAACAGTGGAAACATGCTCTCCTGAAATCTAGATAAAAACAGGCGCTATAAAAATCATGAAACGCAATACAATAACACACAAACACAAAACTATAAAATACAACAAACAAACACAAAACTATACAATACAGCAACACACAAAACTATACAATACAACAACACGCAAACACAGAACAATACAACAACACACAAACAATACAAAACCACCACCAACAACAACGCAAACAACAAATTTAATATCCCCGCAGAATAGGGAGGTCCCTATAAACATCAAGTGACTGGGGGTTCGATAGGGCTCCGGACGCCTTCACCATCTCTCCACTTATTATCTTCTTCACAGCTATCTCCACCTTCTTTCCCGAATGCGTGTACTGATGATGATGACGACGACGATGATGATGATAGCGGATGTGATGATTATGATGAGGAATATGATAGTGATGATGACGACGACGACGATGATGATAATGGTGATGATGATAAAAGTGATTTCATGATGACGTTAATTATGATATCACTAACTATGATATAACTAAGGGCCAAACATAGGAAGTATGTGAAGAATGTGAAGGCGATACCTGGTATGCTGCAGCATAGTATGGTTGTGATGGATGTGAAATCAAAAGAAATGGGGAGGAGGAAGAAGGATAAGTTTGTGGCAAAGAGAAAGACATGGAAGTTGCAGGATGCAGAGGTGAGGAAGGCATTTGAAGTGAAGGTGGCTGAAAATTGGGAGAATGGCAAGGATGGAGATGTTTGGGAGAGATACAGGGACTGTGTGTTGGCTACGGCAGATAAAGTATGTGGATGGACGAAAGGAAAGTGTAGGCATGGTGAGACGTGGTGGTGGGATGAAGATATAAGAAGGGTTTTGGAAGTCAAGAAGGAGAGGTTTAGGGTATGGAGAAGGGACATGACGGAGGAAGCGGAGTCTGAGTATAGGAAGACTAAGAAGGTTGCAAAACAGGCAGTGGCAACTGCAATGACGAAAGCATCAGATAGGTTAATGAAGGAAATGGAATTTGATGTGAGTTCGAGGAAAATGTTTAAAGTAGCAAAGCAGTCAATGAGGGATAGGAAAGATGTTATAGGGAATGGATGTGTTTGGGATGGATCTGGCAAGTTGTGCATAGATGAGGAGGAAAAAGCTCAGGTGTGGAAAGCTCATATGGAAAGGTTGATGAATGAAGAGAATGAGTGGGATGGAGATGTGGAATCCGCGGTCACACACGGACCTATAGAGAAGGTGACGATGGAGGAAGTAGAGAAAGCAGTTAGAGAAATGAAACTAGGTAAGGCTACAGGGGTTTCGGAAGTGGTGGCAGAACATATAAAAGCGAGTGGGGTGATAGGAATTGAAGTTATGATGAGAATTGCTAACAGTATGTTTGATGATGAAGGTATTAGGGATGCACCGAAGTTCGGCCCCGGCTCCGGCCCCGGCCAAAATCCGGCTTTTTTTCAAATCCGGTCGAATCCGGCCCCGGCCGGATTTAGGGCCGGATTTAAGCGTCTATCAACTTTTAAAAATGTTATAAACAGAAAAAAAATTTTTATTGAATTCAATTAATTTTATGTCAATAAGTTAAAGGCTAAGCTAAAGGCATACATGACACATAATAACAACATCACTAATTGTGAGGTGATCTGGACAATTTTCTTTATGCTATAACATGGGTTATGCATAAATTATAAGCTGATCTTTGTGTAAAAGAACTTGTGCACGTGTATATACTTTATATTTATAATTGCACATGACGGATCATATAGCTACATAATATATATATATATATATATATATATATATATATATATATTATTTAAGAACATGGTAAGTTAAAGGTTAGGCTAGGTATACATGACACATAATTACAACATCACTAATTGTGCGGTGAGCTGGACAATTTTCTTTGTGCTTTAACTTGGGTTATGCAACAACAACAACAACAACACACGTTTAGACGACATTTTCCCCGAGATCGGGGGTTGCCGTTTGGCTACCTATGATGAAACCGAAAAACCCCTCGACGCCAGTCCATAATAAGTAATTTATTTGGCTAATTTTTACGCAGGACGCCCTTCCTTACGCAACCACAGTTATAAGCGGTGGGCCTAGCCTTTGATGATCCAACATCACTCACAAGGCAGTGAGGGTCAGTTTAATGTCATAGCCAGGACAACTTGGGTTATGCAAATATGCATAAATTATAAGCTGATCTTTGTGTACAGAATTTGGCGTATCACACAACTTATTCATATATTTGAATTAAATAACTATTTGCTTGGTGTTATTTTTTGATGTTCAACATTTAGATAACCGTAAATGTGAGTATTTTTTCTAACGTATGTAAAATGGTAACTAAAATCCGGCCCCGGCCGGTTTTTGAATTTCAAATCCGGCCCCGGCCGGATTTGAAAAACCTGAATCCGGTGCATCCCTAGAAGGTATACATGAGGATTGGCGACACAGTGTGTTGGTGCCGTTGTATAAGGGCAAAGGAGATGTGAGAGATTGTGGGTCATATAGAGGTGTGAAATTACTAGAGCACGGAATGAAGGTAGTGGAGAGGGTGCTTGAGAGAAGGTTGAGAAGTGTGGTGACAGTTAATGAAATGCAGTGTGGGTTTATGCCTGGTAGGGGAACGGTGGATGCGTTGTTTATGGTGAGAATGTTGCAGGAGAATTATAGAAAGAAGAAACGAAGATTGTACATTTGTTTTGTGGATCTAGAAAAGGCTTTTGATCGAGTACCGAGGAAGATCATTGAATGGGCGTTGAGGAAGAAAGGAGTGAATGAGAGACTTGTTAAAGCTGTGATGCAGCTGTATGAAGGGGCAAAGACAAAGGTGAGGGTTGGAAGGGGGATGTCGGACGCTTTTAGTGTTAAGGTAGGAGTGCATCAAGGACCAGTGTTATCACCGTTTCTGTTTGCAATTGTGATGGATGTTGTGTGTGGAAACATAATGGAGGGGTTGTTATTTGAGATTTTGTATGCAGATGATTTAGTCTTGATGGCTGATAGCATGGAAGAATTGCAGTTAAAATTTGACAGATGGAAAAGTGTTATTGAAAAGAAAGGGTTAAAAGTTAATATTGGTAAGCAGAAGGTAATGGTGAGTGGGGAAGGTGGGGAGCGAGTGATAAGTAAAATAGACCCCTGTGGGGTATGTGACAGGAAAGTGAAGGCTAACTCGGTATTGTGTATAGGATGTCAGAAATGGGTGCATGTGAGGGGGGCACTGAAAAAGGTGGAAGGCACGTTCAAATGTAAGAAATGTATTCATGGTGTGATTAATAGGACGGACGCAAGGACGGGGTTGAGTGGTGGTATTGAAAGAGTGGAAAGCTTTGTTTACTTAAGGGATAAGCTGAACGCGGATGGAGGATGTTTGAGCGCAGTTACGGCTAGAGTTCGTGTAGGATGGATGAAATTTAGGGAACTGGGTGGGGTATTGAGTGGAAAGAAATGGTCAGTGAAGATGAAAGGGAGGTTATATAAAGCATGTGTGAGAGCAGCGATGGTATATGGTGGTGAAACTTGGGTGTAGAGGAGAGAGGAAGAAAGTGTACTGCAGAGGGCTGAAAGAGCTATGGTGAGGATGATGTGTGGGGTTAAAGTGAAGGATAGGAGGAGTAGTACAGAGCTGATGTCAATGATGGGACTGAATGAGGACATTGTGACATTGATAAGGAGATCGAGATTGCGGTGGTATGGACATGTGTTGAGAAGGGATGAAAGGGTCGGGATTAGGCAAGCGTTGGAGTTCAAGGTCGAAGGAGTGGTAGGAAGGGGTCGTCCGCGATTGGAATGGAGAGAGCAGGTGGAGAAGAAGGACAGGGTGAAAGCGGGGTTGCGTGATACTGAGGCGAGTGACAGATGTGGATGGCGTCGAGGGGTATTTCGGTTTCATCATAGGTAGCCAAACGGCAACCCCCGATCTCGGGGAAAATGTCGTCTAAACGTGTGTTGTTTGTTTGTTGTAACTATGATAACATTAGCAAAGATGATAATTGAAAAATGACAATAATAGATCACATACACAGCATACACACACACACACACACGCACACACATACACACACACACGCCATAATAAACAAACCGGAATGTCAGTAGTTTCCATGACAACAGACGGAACGTGACGAGGCGAAAGTTGTTTACGAATGCTGGCCTGAACTTGCTTGATGAGGTCAGAGGTCAAATTGATGCCAGGGATCATTTTGAGGAAGAGGATTACCCTCTCGTCCATGCCGTCGCTACTTTTCTGGCCGACGCACAAACTGTCCTGTACCTCCTTGAAACTTTCAACTTTTTTGTAGGGTTGATTTGAGATTTTAGGTAGGATAATGATTGATTGATTGATTGATTGATTGACCAATTATTTAATGACTGAAGTGTTGTCAATGTTATTGCTGTGATTGTGACCGCCAAAATGAAGTGATGGCAGTAGCGAGGAGGTTGACTAAAACGATGATGATGGGTGGGGTGGGGTGACTAACCGACGTGATAAATCTCGGCACTGCCAAACCTCACACCACCAGGATTCAACGTTCCATCACTGAAAATGATGAAAACGACGATGAAAAAAGATGATGACGGAGATGTGGAAATAATGGGAATGTATGAGGAAATGGCGGAGATGGTGATAGAAAAAAATAACTTATAACTTAAAAGTAACAATGATATGAAGGTATAGGTAAAAAATTATCGTGACTAATTAAACGATTCACGCTCATTCATCCATTGATTGATTGATTGATTGATTGATTCATTCATTTCTTTATTCTTCCACAATCAATCAATCAATCAATCGAACAACCTCCTTCCAAGCATCCAAACACCGCCAGACGATGGACTGACGAGACAAAAATCGCCGTGAGCCCAAACACCTGGATTGATTGTCATGACGACGACGATGATGATGATAGACGGTAAGGATGATGATGATGATGATGACAATCAATCAAACAAACAATGCAAACAAACAAACAGACGAACAAACAAACAGTTAAACAAACAGACCGAACGCTAAACAAACAAGCAACAAACCAGGAAACTTCTCGAAATAGGCAGCCTTGTATTTGCTGCCATGTGGATCGTTGAGGAAATAGATAGGCATGCTAGGGAAAGGTTTCGTACACACCAACTCCCCGCTTTCTCCTAATACCGGCTTGCCTGCCACCGAGAAAAATTTTTAAATATTAATGAAAGAATGCATCAGTAAATGAATGGATAACAAAAGAATGAATGGATTAAAGGAATGAATGGACAAACATAAATACCCACCCAATCAACGAGCATCACCCAACTAAAAACAACATACCATCTTCGTCCCAGCTTTCCAGAGCAATACCGAGGTGGGCTCCCTGAATCTCGCCCCTATAAACAGGGGTCATGGGGTTGAGGCCAGCAAAACAGGCAATGATGTCCGTACCTCCCGTGATAGATCCCAAAATGACGTCACGCTTGATGGCTTCGTAAACGTAAGTGAAGCTCTGCGGCTTCAGAGGTGACCCGGTTGAAAGGATTGTGTGTAATGAGGTCAGATCATGTGACTCGCCTGGAATGTTCCCACGTTCCTCCAGTAACGATAACCATTTCGCTCCCGTCCCTAGGATTGTGATCCTGAAGATGAGTGAGGTGGTGATAGCAGTGATGGGGGTCAGTGTTAGCAGAGACAATACTTGATGAGGAAGTTTATAAAAAGTTAGTCTTTTCGTTCATCTAAAAAAAATCAATCAACTTACAAATCAATCAATCAATCAACTAATCAATTAACAAACTAATTAACCAATCAAGTAACAAACAAACAACCAAACGAACAAAAACAAACAAACAAACAAACAAAAGAACAAACTTGAGTCTCTCGACTAGGTCCCAGAGAACATTCTCATTAGGAACGAGTGGTGACCCGTCATAACAAACAATAGAGGAGCCAACAGCCAGTGATGAGACATACCAATTCCACATCATCCACCCTGTCTGCAATGTTCGTGATGTCATTAGTGGAGTTTGTTTGATCAACCAATCAGTCAACCAACAAATCAATCAGTCAACCAGAAGACTAACGGTGGTGAAATACATGAGTATGTCGTCTTCCTTCATATTTCCTTGCAACAAATGTTCCTCCAGATGTTTCAAAAGCGTACCCTTTTATGTGCAATAACAATCAATCCATCCATGTATCCATTCATTCATTTATTCATTCATCCATACATCTATGCATGGATCTATCCGTCAACCAATCAGAATGAACCAACCCCAGAAGAATGAACCATGCACTTAGGGATGCCAGTAGTGCCACTGGAGTACATGATGAAGAGTGGATGGTTGAATGGCAGCTGTTCAAACATCAGTGGGGGTATAGATCCATCTGCCCTCATGCCCTTTCGTGCAAAATCTTCAATCAGACAACTTTTGGATGTGGTTGGTTGGTTCATAAGATGATTGGTTGGTTGAATGGTTGATTGATTGATTGGTTGGTTGATTGGTTGGTCAATTCCCAATAAAATGACAACCTGTTCCTAATGTTCGAGATGTTGATTGGCTGGCCGTCAATTTTCAAGTACGGCACCACAACCACGCAAACCAAATCCGGTAAGCCTAAATGCAATTATCGAAATCACCCTCATCTTCCTCTTTTTCATCACAATTATCATCATCAGAGCCAGCATCATCACAATCATCATCAAAAAGAACAAACCCTGTGTGACTTGGAAGAGTTTTTCAAGATGATCATGTTGCTTGCCGTTGTATGTGACTGCATTGATCGAGAAGATGAGCTTGGGTTTTATCTGACTGAATCTCTCAAGAACGCCCTTTCAATCAATCAATCAATCAATCAATCATCAATCAATCAATCAATCATCAATCAATCAATCAATCAATCAATCAATCAATCAATCAATCAATCAATCAATCAATCAATCAATCAATCCATCAATCAACCAATCAACCTACCGAAACACCAAACTCAGGTGAGGTACTACTCCACGTTGCTCCAACGGAAGCAGCCGCCAACATCACCTCAACAGCCTCTATACTGTTTGGAAGGTATCCTGTGTTTATTTTTATGTGTGTGTGTGTGTGTGCGCGTGTGTGTGCGTTTGCGCGTGTGTGTAAATGTTATAAATATTTCTTAGTAAAGTTTAGTCATCAGACAAGTATTCATTCACATTTCATGAAGTATTATTATAAATATTATGATAAAAAGTCTAACAGCAGACTTTTTGAGAATTGCGTTAAAAACCATCAAAACACATCACCACTACCGAAAACCACAATCAAATCAGCCAACCAACCAACCAACTAATAAATCAGTTGGTCAACCAACCAACCGACCGACCAACCAATCAACTAATCAATCAGTTGGTCAACCAACCGACCGACCGACCAACCAACCAACCAATCAATCAACCAACCAATCAACCAACCAACCAACCGACCAACCAACCAACCGACAACGGTATCTCCGACACCAATGTTGAATGTTTTCATGGCAGCGGCGTACCTCTCGACATTCCTGTGCAACTCTGCAAACGTACGTGTTCGAATCTCCGCACAGCCTTCAACTGATAATTGAACAAATGAATGAATGAATTGAATGAATGAATGAATTAATGAATGAATGAATGGATGAATAATTATGAAAAAAATGAATGATTGATTAAATAATTAATTAATTAAATGAATGATTGAATAAATAAAAAAACGAGTGATTGACTGAGTGTGAAGCTAACTAGCTTATCAGTAACATAAATAAATAAATAAATGAATAAATAATTAATTAATTAAATGAATGATTGAATAAATAAAAAAACGAGTGATTGACTGAGTGTGAAGCTAACTAGCTTATCAGTAACATAAATAAATAAATAAATGAATAAATAATTAATTAATTAAATGAATGATTGAATAAATAAAAAAACGAGTGATTGACTGAGTGTGAAGCTAACCAGCTTATCAGTAACATAAATAAATAAATAAATGAATGAATGAATAAATGAATGAATGAATGAGAGAGAAACCAATCAACCAAGCGGCCAACCAGTAGCGTAGATAGCAATCTTATGATCGCGACGACGAAGTAGATTCTCGGCGAAATTCAGCCTACAGCAAGGAAACCATGCAGGGATATCGGCAATACCTTTCGACCTGTCTACAACCTTTCAAAATAGTTACAAGGTATTTGCTACGTGTCTATTCCGTATGACGAGGTATTCAAAACAAGGTATTTGTTACGTGTGTATTCGATGAGGTACTTTTATTGCATATTTGGTGGCAGCTTATATGCTTAAAAACGAAACAAAACATATCAACATGTAATTGTATGTGATGGCTAAAAATATAGGTCAATGATTTAAATACAACGCCATCACTGCTTGCAAACGTTCATGCAAGCAACAAATAATATAGATAGACACACACACAAACACCCATACAAACAAACAAATACAAAACATAGACACACACATACATACATATAACCGACCCCTTGAACTTGTAGGGTATGGTTATTTCTTTTTACGCGGATTCTTGATTCCTAAACAGACTTATTTTAGATGACTTTATTAGAAAGAAAACAGAGCTGGCAATTGCCGTAATCGATCACTCGTTCGTTCGATCGTTAAAATCGTTGGAATACAAAACAATAATTAATCAACAGTTAAATCACAGGATAAAACTAATCGTCAATAATTAAGCTCTTCTCGTCAGATGTTTCTTGACCGTAAATCCTAAGTATCCACTTCTCGGAAGATTATCGTAATTCACTCGCAGACCGCGTGTTGAATTCTTCGTGACAAACTTCTCCTTGGGCGTTATCGCTAATTTGTTTGCAGTGCGCACACAAAATATCTCTGCGATAATAGGACTGCCTGAAACTTCTTCTGACTTCTTCGTAATTCTCGTCGTTCCTTGCTATTTCGTGCACTCTTCTCTCTGTATCTCTCTCTTCTTTTTCTATTCTCCCTTTCTCTTTTCTTATCGTTCTTGTTGTCGGTCTATTTATACCTCGCTTTCTTTTACAATCATCGACATTTTACAATACGGTTTTCATTGGCTCCGCCTCTTAATTAAATTATCAAGCGCTTCACTTTAATTTCTAATTACCAATTCTTATCTTGCCTTCACGTCTGTAACAATACAAACATACATACATACAAACAAACAAATACGGAAATACAAAACCGACATACATAATCATATTTCTTGGAATGAATGACTTCAGCGAATTCCCAGAGTTCCTCCCAGAATTCAGGATAGTTATCTACGGACCATCTGTGCAGTTCTTGATATGTCTCTGTTGGGATTGAAATATCAAGAAAATATGAGATAGAGAAAAACGAAGAAGGATAGGAGGAGAGAAAAAAAAATGAAGAGAGAGAAAGAGAGAGAAATAGAGAATGAGGATGATCTAGAAAAAGTTGTAAAACTAGAAAAAAAATAAACAGGAAAAGAAAGAAAGAGAGCGAGAGAGAAAGAATAAAAAAAAGAAGGAAAGAAAAAATAGAAAGAGAAACTAACTATAACAAGTTGTAAACAACGTATAAACGGCAACCAAAACGAACCTAACTGCAGACCAAACTTCTTATTAATCCTCTGCATGAACTTGTACATATTTGATTTTTTGATGAAGTCATCACTTGGTTTCCATAGCAACTCAGGGTTGGGCGTGTAGACAGAGTCTTGGCTTATTGAACTCATCTTCCTGCTCTGAAGCTGTCAAATGAATGTTGGTAGCTGTTACAATGCGAGATATCTTAAGGGTAACAACAAATGAACAGTTAGATAGGAGTGCCAGAAGGAAGAAAGGTCAAATTAATTTGCTTATGTCTTCTTTGATCTTAATGAATGAATGAATGAATGAATGAATGAATGAATGAATGAATGAATGAATAAGATAATGAACACGTAAATTAATGAATAAAAGAACAAATGAATGAATCAATGAACAGCTGATGCACAGCTAATAAAGAACTTTTTCAGATAACACCAATGCCGACACACAAGAATATAACTAGGCTGCGTGTGCGTGTGTTTATGTGTATGTCTGTGTGTATGTGTATGTCTGTGTGTATGTGTATGTCTGTGTGTATGTGTATGTCTGTGTGTATGTACTCTTAGGTATACATTTATGTAGTCTTTATATTTTCTCATAGTTGAATGACCTGAGTCATAATCATGACATCAATGGCATTGGAAACAGCATCAACCGAAATATAACATTTAAAATGATGATTTAATAATGTTGTAACAATAGAGATTAGTAATAATTATAATTATAATGATAATAATATTATCAAATGTTATTACTGCTATAGAATCAATATAGTGAATGTACAGGTAGCATATTGAACAGAAATTTGTCACTTTCTTAGAAACAAATCAAAGTAAAAATTACGTAATACAAATATGCATTTACACATTTAATAGATAGATACACACACACACACACGCACAGGCAAACGGACACACAAACACACACACAGACATATGTATATATGTATGACCACAGAGTATAAGAATGTATTAACATAAGCAATAGAGTTTATTGATTTGTTCAGGCCCATGTAGCAATAGCAACCAAGCAGAATTAAGACTATTTTTATGAGGTTGCATTAGAAGTATGTGTGTGTTTGTTTGTTCGTATGTTTGTTTGTGTGTGGATGTGTTTATATATGTGTGTATGTGCGTGTGGGTATGTGTTTATGCGTAGATGTCTGTGCATAAAAACATGTGCTTATTTAAATTTATTTTAAGTGTATAAAACTGTATATATATATAGCTGTGAAAAAAATGAAGAAGTAGAAAAAAAAAGAGAATTGAAGAAAAAGAGAGAGAGAAAAAGAGAGAGAGAAAGAGAGAGGAGAGAGAGAAAGATTGTGAGTTAAATATGTGTAAAGTGTATATAAAATATGTCAAATATTTCAAATTTTAAAGATAATGTGCAGAAGTACACATGATTTAGAAGTTTACACAAGTGATTAATGCTACTATGTAGAACTGAAAATTTGCCCAATAAATTTCAAAATCAGTGAAGCATAAACATTTCCTATAAATAAAAACGACAACATTTCCTTACAAAACTACGAACCATATCAGTTAAAAACACTTAATATTAGTATTTATAATAAATGTTGTATATAAAATGTAATAAAATGTAAAACAAATAATTTGTACGTGTGTGAATGTATGTGTGTGTGTGTGTGCATGTGCTTGTAAATAAATATTTATCTTCTTACTTAACTATATTATACTTATAAGAACTTATCACATCCAATTGAAAAAGTTATTTTGAAACTGTTTTTAATCTCTTCAATCTCAATGTTATCAACATAAAACAATTATTTAATTTGCAATTGAATAAAACTTTATTGCCTCAATAATGTCAGTAAATAGATAAGACTATATATATAGTTATATACTACTATAACGAACCAGTTACTATAACAACAACATACAACAACACACTCACATGCATCTCAAATAAAGAATACATTTTTTTATCACTCAAAAAGTTTTTCAGAGCTAGTTGAGTAGATCAAAATTACTCATAAAATAAATTTTATTTTAATTCTTTAATAATTGTTACCTCATTTTTAAATATTAATAAATTAAACCATGAATTAAACATGAAAATGTAAAATAATATAATATTGAAATTAATAATTATATATCAAAAATTAAAATTAAAATATAATTATTAATTATATTATATTATTTAATTATATTATTTATTATTTATACAAAATTAAAAAGACAAAATTTGAAACTTTTATAAACAAAATTTAACCAAAATTAAATCAGCAAAAAATACACCAAGATAACAGAGCAACTCACGCGAATAAAAGTTAAAATTGTTATTTTTAATTTTAATTTCTCTTTAAACAAAATTAATATTAATAATTCGAACAGAAAAGTACCGCACGTTGTTTATAATATATAAGAAGCCCGTGAGATTAAATAGATATTAAGCATTCAACGTAAGAGCCTTACTTTCTATTTCTTTATGACTCAATAAATCTCACAAATAACGCGCTATTGTATCAATATTTTACCTAATAACAGTTTAGACTAAACATTTATAACACCTATCAGTTATTTTACTCAATTTAATTCAGTTGAATAGCATTTAGATGTGTATGCTATAATGTACAATCATCATACAAGCTGGGAATGCATGGTTCGATGTGAGAAGACCACATCACGCCATTTATAATAAGCATCATTATGGATGGTTTGTAATGTTCTGATGTAATAATAGTAAAGTATTAGATAATATATCTGTAACATTGTAAGTGGTTCTGCCTATGTCAGAGCTGCAATAATAAAGACTAAAAAAAATAATGTTGTAATGTATGGTTTGTAATGCTAGCTACGGCTTTGTTTAAAAAAAATCATTTTAATTTTAATGTTCTTAACTATAAGAATTTCAGTATATGAAACACACACTAAGTTATTAAAATATCAATATTAACAAGATGGTTTGTCCTGTATATTTTTCATTTACGAGTACTTTATTCTAATTCAACCTTTCCTATCTTCATCAAAATTGTAAAAGATAGGTTTAAATCAGGGGTGGGCAAACTTTTTGCTATTTTACCTTTAAAGGGCCGCATATGTACTTAAACAGCAAATTTTTTCGACCCAGGGGAGAATTTTTTGAAGATTTGTGGCTTCTTTTTTGTTCATAATGTCTGGCTGATGACCTTTTTCTTGGTAAACAAGGCCTAGCGGGCCGCAGTTTGCTCGCCCCAGATTTAGAGATAATACAAGATCTCTCTAGTTCGATCTATAATATAGGAAATCTAAAATATTTAATTAATAATAACAAAATTGAAATTATTTAACTCCCCTCACCACGAGAAAAAAAACTAAAACAACGCAAGAATTAAGTTTTAATTAATCACGAACAGTGTATAAAAAATTGACAAGAAGAGTAATTTGTCGCAACTTTATATCGTGGCGATGCGTGTTTTGACCCCAGTAACTGTTAACACAAACCACATTTATGTTATTTATTATTATTAATATGACCTCAACGTCGGAAACTAACATTGAAATTTCGATTTCAATTAGACAAAATCAGAAACATGGAATTATCAGGTGCATTTAAAACAAACTAATATATTAAAAAATTTTTATGTTAAATTTTAAAAATGAAGAGTGCAAGCGAGGTTTACTTGTTATATACACGTACATAATAATAAAAACCTAATAAAAAAAGAAAAAGGTAATAAGAAATATAATTTTAACCTATCAATAAAAAAAAAATAAAAGACATACAGTCAAATAATCACAAATTATCAATTTATTTCACGAATATGAATAAACAATATAAATTAATAATTAATTAATTAACTAAATAATTATCAATAAATCTAATCAACTTTACATTAATTGAATTCAATTGAAAAAATTTTCACAGGTCATCATCATAGTTTGCATAACGGCTTAAGGTACTGTAGCATGAAATTTGACAACTCCGTATCGACGAATTGTGTCTTGTTCCTGTGAAAGTTAAAATAATTTATTTTTAGTAATAATAATAATAATAATAAATTTGTTAAGTTTAGTGTAAAACCAAACAGCCAACGCAATACCAGCAAATTAAGACGCGACCATTTCAAAGCTTTACATTAAAAAACACTACAGAACACCAAATTCCAGAAATTCCAAATTTTAAACACGAAAAAATTTAATATAAAATTGGCAAAGTGACAAAAAAACCAAGCCCAAACCAAACAACTCAACCCAACGAACTTGAGACAGATAGCTTGCTTGGAAGCTTCATCAAGTTTCGTTATTTCAACTTCTAAATTCTTCAATTCATCTTCCAGGTCGTTCTTCGTCATCTCAACCTGCTGGCAGAGTCTACCGAATGTTGAATTCAACTCTCTGACGCAGGTGAAAATGAAAGAGAAGTATCATTTAATATGGGTGGCAATAATTGGAATGGCGAATGACGTAATTGAAAAAGAGATATGGTAAATTCAAAATGAGATTTCAAAAGGTGTCGCAAATCAAAACTAACACAATTAATCAACAAGTGAATGAATTAACAAATGAAGGCATGAATGAATGAGCGAATGAGAGCATAAATGAATGAATGAACAATGAATGAATGAATGAAAAGAAGAACCAACTGTTGAACTTGATGGCTACAATTTGCACTAGTCAGATCAACGATGAGTCTCAACTTGCCGCTGGCATAATCAACATACTGACGCTTGAAAGCCTTCTCCTTTGCACTGCAGATAACACGTACCATTCATACATTTACAATTCATGTTCAGTTACTATGGTTCATATTAACTAACAACAATCATCATAAACGACAATAAAAAAAAACAGTATAAGCAACAGTAGCAGCCACAGTAGCAGCAAAAAACCACAAGACCCAGTAGGTCTACCTGTTGGTCCACGTGATCCTCTCATATAAGTAGAGGAGTCCGTAGATGCCTCCACAGAGACCTATCACACGCCAGCCGGCTGCCTTCCCTAACTGAAATTTATAACATTTTTTTTTCGTTCGATGTTTATTGCAGATTATCTCGGATTTATTCATCAGCACAAGTTTCTATATACTAATGCCGAAAAATCTATCAAATTGAAATTTATAAGAATGTTAAATTTTTGGAAAAGTGACTCACTATTTTTATAATTATTTTATAATTAATTATTTTTATAAATATTTTTATAATTCATCCATCGAAGAACAAGCACTATAAAGTTAACTTTCCGAAATAAAAAAATTTCAACCAGATATGAGAAGTTATCTAACCAGGGCAGCAATGGCCAGCACACCAATGGTGGTGCCAGAGTAGAGTGATGAGAAAGCAGAGAGTAGGCTGACCATGAGTTCGTTGTCGTCGCTCTGCATGCCCCTGTTTTGTGGAGAGTTTGTGACGTCATCAGCCGGGTAGGCCAGGGTGCGTGTGATCAGCTGTTCGGTGGTCATGTGATCAAAATGTTATCTTAATTTTATGGTTCCATTATTATTAAATCTAGAAACAAAAAGTTTAACGCTGAACGAGATGGTAAAATGTTTTAACTGTAAATTTTCAGAAAGTTTGAAAGTAATTTCTCGGGACCAACTTTTGGCTTGGCATAACGGATTCCAGCGAATCGTTTCACGAGAGTTGACATGCCCAAGGAGAACCTGAAGTCGATATCTTCACAGAACTCGGCGCATAAATTTCTGCAGTCCAACCTGTAGGCCATCTCGAAATTTCTGCTCGGGAAAACGCCGATAGTCTTACGACGAGAGTCATCTGGGATCAAGACCAACAGTTGTTCTGGAGAGTTCCAAAGTGTTCAAATTTAGAAAATTAGAAAATATGATTGAATGACGCGTTGGTTTGTACAGGTTGAAACAAAAAATTGAAACAATTTTAAATTAGGAACTAACTAATTAAAACAAATCCATGCAAATTAAAAGAAAATGTTACTAAATCAAAACGAAACAAAATTAAAAAGTTAAGCAGCTAACTTAGAAACTCATGCCACACAGTAACGAACTAAAAATGATGACAACGATGATGACTGCTACAAATGAATGGACGAATCACTCATTATGAAGATGGTAGTAACATCTATTACTAACTCACTTAGACACTCACTCTATCACCCACTCATTCACTGACTCAATCGAGAAACTAATTTGCTGGCTTACTCAAAACAAGAAATAGCTAGTTCATTCTTTCACACGCACACACGCGCGCGCACACATGCACGCACACAACCTGCCATATCATTGGACGTTTGATCAACAGCTGATCTCAGTGCTTCTGAGCATCTGCTTTGTAAGTTTGTTGATAGGCCTGCCTCTACGTGACTGTGCAACTTCTGATCATGATGATGATTGCAGAGACGATGATAATGATAATGAAGAAGACGATGATGACTGTGGAGATATCAACTCGATGCGAGTAAGGATAACTTCACACAGAGAGAAACCGGAGTGAAAAAAAAACAACTACATGAAAAAACATTTTATCAGGAAATCAAAAAACTACTGAAAGCAATTAAAAACAGGACCAGACGTGTGTGCTCAAATAAAGGCGGTGGAACGTAACACATGCATATTAAAAAAAATCGAAAAAAATTAAATTAAAAAAAAACGCCAAAAAAATCTGCGCTTGTATATTACAGCCCTGCAGAGCAATCAAATTATTCCTGGCACACGCCTATCACTAAATCCGACTGGCGCCACAATCTGTTTGTTACCTGTGATGTCAGCAGTGACGTCATCAATGACGTGATGAACGAGGGAATCGCAACGAGAATGGAGATTGGACGACATGTTGGCCTCGACGTAATTATATAATCTCTGAAGACGTTAGCGATAGGACCAGCAGCAAGTCAGTCGAATGGTTGGTTAGTTAATTGATTGATTGATTGGTTGGTTGGTTGGTTTGAAGGGTAATTAAGAGGTTGGTTAATTGAAAAGAGATGATCTATTATCAATCACTACCCCAAATTAGTTAATTAATTAAATGATTTGTGATTTTCAAAAAAAAGATATGATGTATAAAGTATGAACGGCAATAAAGAAGAATCTTACATTCAACTAAACCATCATTCAATCAATCAATCAATCAGTCAGTCAGTTAACCAGCAAACCAATCCAATCAATCAGCAGACCTTTTTATAGTCATGCAAAGAAATTGGATCTGAATTGAATATTTCGTCAAACTCATCCACCAGCGTCGACAACCTTCTGATCTCTTCTGATAGAGCTGTTGATACCTAAGCGCATGATTGATTGATTGGTTAATTGATCGACTGATTGATTGAGTGGTGCATTAATTCAATGGTGCATTAATTGATTAAAGTAATTAATGATTTAGTCAGATATGGTTTGATTTATTAATGACTTAAGAGATTGAAGCAATGAATGACTGATAAATTGATTGAAAAAAACAAGCTATTTAACTAAATAAGATGAATGAATGAGTGAATGAATGAATGAATGAGTGAATAAATGAATGAATAAATGAATAAATGAATGAATGAATGAATGAAGGAAAAAACAAAAAAGTGATGAAATGACTGGGCCCCACCACTCGTCCTAGCCAACCAACCAACCTTAACTTCAACTTCTTCAGTCATCCGCTTGATCTTATCCCTGATGATGGCTGTTAGTTGGACCATCTGCTGGTCTGTGTACATTAGGTGGTTCAATCTGCTGTCATACTCCTCCTTCTTCAACATCCTGAATGAGTGAGTGAATGATTGAGTAAATGGATGAATGAATGAATAACATCTTTTAAAAAAAAGTAGAAAGGTAAATCAAGAAAATTAAATTGCTGATTTAGGTTACAAATTTGAAAGAACGACCAGCCAGCCAGCCAGCCAACGAGCACCGACCTGCTATCGACAGCACTGAGACAGATATTCTCCATGGTCTTGTACATGTACCTCGTGATCTCCTTGCCGTTGTCTGCATGCAGTGCAAACTTTGTCTCCACTGCCGACTGAGATATGCATTCCTAGGAAGAAAATAAAATTATTAATTAATAAATTAATAATTAGTGGATGGATGAATGGATAGATGAGTAAAAATACAACAGCTAAAAAACCACTAAAGACCAAATAATTTAGCATAACCATAAGACTTTACAAGACCCCCCAAAAAAATCGCAGGACCGCCACTAAAACAACAACAGAAACAAGAGAACAGCTGCAAACCTCAAACTTCCTTTCAAAGCTAGCAAACTCAAACAATCTGCCCTGAAAGCCCTCAAGCATTTGATTGGTGGGGGTGGGTGTTCCTCGATCCTGGTTGATCCTCGACGCCAGTGCCTCTCTGGCAGACACGAAGAAGACCCTGTTCTCGGCTTCGTGATGTGTGGCCACCTTCAACTCGTCCACTAGAAACTCGACATTACGTTCCAAGTGCTGCTGTTTTACCTGCAGTGTTTGTGTTGGTTTTTGTGCTGGTGGTGGGCTGTAGATGAAAACATGGATGGTATTCTGTGGCAATGTTAAATTTCATTTAAAAAATTTTTAAAAATATTCCGTGATTATATGAATAAATGAATGAGACTGTGATTAAATGAATGAATGAGTAAACAAATGAATAAACAAATGAATGAGTGAATAAACAAACGAATAAATGAATGAATGAAGGAAGAAAGGAATGAAGCAATCAACTAACCTCTTGCATCATTTCAAGTTCAGAAGCAGAAGCATCCCACCTGTTGTTGAGGATAAAAATGTTTGGCTTTGACAACCTCTCACTTACTCTATGGAAAAAATTTTTCTCCTGGCAGAATAATTTGAGTTTGAAAATCATTCCTTAATTCATTCAAACTTTCAATCATTCATACATTCATTCATTCATTTAACCAACCAACCAATCAATCAATCAGCCTACCAATCAATTTATCAATTAATAAAATAAATAACCGTTTGCATAAGGGTTGATTCAGCATTGGCAACTAGAACAAATACATCAGCATCCAAGCAGAACTTATCAATCCAGCTGTCAAGATCCGGTGAGACATCTATGCCAGGACTGGTAGGTTAGTTGATTAAGTGATTGGTTGGTTGATTAGGTGATTGGTTGGTTGGTTGATTAGATGATTGGTTAGTTAGTTGGTTGGTTTGTTGGTTAAGTGATTGGTTGGTTAGTTTGCTTTGGAAAATAATTGTTTGTTTATTGTATAGGAGTTGAGATTTGTAGCCAATTAGTTATATATTAAATGAAATGTAATCCATAGTTATTCCATGAACCAAATAACAGTCACAACTTAAAAACATCAGAGACCACTAACAACGGAATCAAATGACAACAACAATACCAATCACATCAAGAACCACATCAAATAGCATCAACAACAACATCAAGCACATCAACAACCACATAAAATAGCATCAACAACCACATCAAATAGCATCAACAACAACACAACCAAATGACATGAACAGCAAACTACCTGTCGACGAGCACGACGTCATCTCTCAGCAAAGTGCATTGATCTTTCGGCCAGCAAATTCTTATCAGGGTGTCATTGTTCAGCTTAACTTTGCTCAGAGCACTGGCCAGAGAGCTTATTGACTGCATTGAAAAAAACATCATCAGTATTATTATTATTAGTAGTAGTGGTAGCAGCAGCAGTAGTAGTGATAGTAGCAGCAGCAGTAGTAGTGCTAGTAGCGGCAGTAGTAATGATAACAGAAGTACAAAAAGACCACAGTGAATCAAAACTTTATCATCATCACCATCATCATTGCAACCATCATAGCTACATCATCTTAATCATATCTCATCATCATCATTCATAACTCACTTCATCATCACCACCACCAAAAAAAATCTTCAAAGGACCAGCCTGTAAATCGAGTTTCTGTTGATCCTGTTCATTAATGAGGTAGGCCTCTTGACCTTCGACCCCTTCAACCTGCAGGAAACAGTTCGTTGTGTGGCCGATACCACTTGGAAGAATTTTGTTCCTCAACATGGCATTTATCACAGAACTTTTGCCATTTGACGTTCTTCACAGGTGTGTAAAGTTGGTTATGAAAATAAAGAGTCATGACACAACAGTGATGAGTAAGTTAATTATGATGAAATGATAATGGAGCAGTGATGAGGTGATGATGAATGGTTATAACCTGCCAAAGAATGCAACTTTCATGCGATCTCTCTTCAAAATTTCTCTAATGCCCTGAACTTTATCTTTGTACTTACTGAATTGCTCACATTGATCAGGTTTTATCAAACTGCTCTCTTGACTTAAACCTAATTAATTAATTAATTCATTCATTTGAAAATATGAAAACAATATTATTTATTATTTATTTATTTTCAACAAAAAAAAAGAGTAAAAATAACTTTTAACAAATTCATTGCCCTCATTTATGTATGTTGCAATTTCTATAAAAATGTCATTAATCTTCTTCTTGGCTTGTCCAAAAATTTTTAGAGGTGAAGTCGGTGATTGTCGGCCGTTTGCTAATTTTCTACCAGCAGACATTGGCATTGAAACTGGCCCCGATGGTGAGAACTCGTTATTTGTATTTCTTAAATTTCCAGACATTTTAATTTTTTAAAGCTGAAAGGTTTAGGAAATAAGATAAGAGTTAATATTAATTAAATATAAAGAATTAAAAGAATGCACTAATAAAATAAACAAAAGTAAAATTTTCAAAAATAAATATTAATTAAAATTTAAATAAAAAATAACTAATATCTATCTAATTTCTAATCATAATGTAATGATAATCCTTCCTAACCTTTTGAAATTTTGACCTTTGAAATTTAAAACCACAAAAAACTCTTGATGAACAATTTAAACAAAAATAATTACTAAAATGTCTCACTAATTCACCGAACTGATGAAATGCCGGTAAAACTCGTCTCGATCTAGTACGCTGATTTAGAAAGAAATTATGATCAGCATGCGAATTGGTAAATACGCCGACATTTTTATTTCTAA